GTCGGCATCGTCACGTTGTGGAAACGGGTCTGGCTCTCTTGGCTCAGGCTTCGGTTCCACAGCGATATTAGGATTATGCCTTTGAGACTGCGGTCTATCTCATCAATAAAATGCCTACTCGAGTTCTAGACAATGTCAGTCCTCATTATCGTTTGCATCATTCTAATCCTTCTTATTCCTTCTTGCGTGTGTTTGGCTGTCTTTGTTATCCTCTGTTGCGCCCGTACAATCGTAACAAGTTGCAGTATCGGTCATCCCCGTGTGTGTTTCTTGGTTATCCGTCTTTGTTTCGTGGCTATCGTTGTTTAGATCCTGCTACTAACAAGGTATTCATTTGTCGTCATGTACGGTTTGATGAGACCGTATATCCGTTTGCTTCTTCTATGCCTTCTCAGGTCTCTAGCTCTCGCCCGGTTGAGCCGTGGGGTGTTAGTGTCGTTTGGGTTGGTGTTGGCTCCGATGTTTGTCCCACTGGACCTGATCCTCATCCAGAGTTGGACGCGGATTCCGGGGCTGCTGCAGCTGGTTCAGATTCTCGCACCGTGACTGCTACGGCTCCGGAAGGGGCGGTCTCGGGTGCTCCTACTGCGCCCAAGCGAGGCCGCCGTACGGCGAAGCCTGTTCAGCCTCGGTCTCATGTCATGGCAACCCGTTCTCAAGGACCGACGCAGCATGTGGCTCTTATGACTGTTCCTGAACCGACTTGTTATTCTCAGGCAGTTCGGTATCCGGAGTGGCGTGAGGCCATGGATCTTAAGTTTAATGCCTTGCTCCAGAATCACACTTGGCGTCTGGTTAGTCGTACACCTGGCATGAATGTTGTGGGGTGCAAATGGGTGTTCAGAACGAAGCGCAAGGCCGATGGCACGATTGAGCGGCACAAGGCTCGATTGGTCGCAAAGGGTTTCAATCAAGTCGCTGGGCAAGACTTTTTTGAGACTTTCAGTCCTGTTGTCAAACCCACCACCGTGCGGCTTCTTCTCTCTTTAGCCGTTTCTCGCGGTTGGGTCATTCGGCAGCTGGATGTTCACAACGCCTTCCTCAATGGTAATCTTGCAGAGACAGTTTACATGAGACAGCCGCCCGGTTATGAAGACCAGTCACGGCTGGATGATGTGTGTTTGTTACAGAGGTCACTCTATGGTCTTAAGCAGGCTCCTCGAGCGTGGTTCAATAGGTTGCATGCTTTCTTGGTGTCGGTTGGTTTTTCACCCTCCAAGACTGATGTTTCTTTATTCATCTATACTCGTGCCTCTATTTGTTTATATTTGCTTGTCTATGTTGATGATATCCTTGTTATGGGGTCTGATGCTTCGTGTGTTACTCGGCTTCTTACTGACTTAGCCTCGGAGTTTAAGATTCGTGACATGGGTGCTCCGTCTTTTTTTCTTGGCATTGAGACGGTCTCCAAGGATGGTGGTTTGTTTCTTTCTCAGCAGCGATACATGCGAGATATTTTGAGCCGTGCAGGTATGGTGGACTGTAAACCGTTGGCTACTCCGGTTCCTGTGTCCCGACCTTCTTCTGATTCTGTGGTTCCCTATGCGGATCCCACGCAGTATCGCAGTCTTGCTGGGGCTCTACAGTATCTTACTGTTACTCGTCCGGATCTCTCTTTTGCCGTGAATCGGGTCTGTCAGCATATGCACTCTCCAACCACTGAGCATTGGGCTATGCTCAAGCGTGTTCTGCGGTATGTAAAAGGAACTCTGCACTTTGGTCTTTTTATTCGTCCTTCCTCCTCTGTTGCGGTTCATGCCTTTTCGGATTCGGACTGGGCTGGTGATCCAGCTGACAGGAAGTCTACTAGTGGTTTTGCGGTTTTTCTTGGTGGCAATCTGATTTCCTGGTCTTGTCGGAAGCAACGCACGGTTGCTCGTTCGTCTACAGAGGCTGAATACAAGGCTCTGGCTGATGTGTCTACGGAGGTCACCTGGTTGGTTTCTCTGTTGCACGAGCTTGGAGTGTCATTGGCTGCTCCTCCCACTCTCTGGTGTGATAATTTGGGTGCGACTTATCTCTGTTCCAACCCGGTGTTCCATGCTCGTACGAAGCATGTGGAAATTGATTACCACTTTGTTCGTGACAAAGTGGCGAAGAAGGAGTTGCAGGTTAGCTTCATTTCCACAAAGGATCAGCTCGTTGATGTGTTCACTAAAGCTCTCCCTGGTCCGCGTTTCTCTACTCTATGTGGCAAGCTCAATGTTGTTGCTAGTCCACCTTGTGCTTGAGGGGGAGTATTAGGACTCTATCATCATTAGTATTCGTTACCTATTATTATTAGTAATTAGTATTCGTTACCTATTATTATTAGTATTCGTCTTGTAATAGGTTTACTATTCACTACTATATATACTCCTGTACAGACTCATTATTATTCATTCAGATATATCGTATCCTCATATATATATATATATATATATATATATATATATATATATATATATATATATATATATATATATATATATATATATATATATGATGCGATGGAATAACTATATATACACAGAGGATGCGATGGAATAACCTGAGTAGGCTTGAAACGAAAAGGACCTTCGTTGGCGTTGCGTGGCGATCGGCGCATAAGCATTCCAGTGAGGAAAGACGGAATATTGCCGATCAATCAATCTATTTGAATTAGTGTTTTCAGCCCTCACTTGATCTAAATAGGTGAAATGACTACTTTACCCCTCAAACTAACATCTACTTAACTTTCAAGTAACGGAAGGACCAACATTGGAAAGATTTCAAAAGTCAAGTGTCTAAATTGTTCAAATTAAAACTCAAGGACCAATTGTGGAAAATCAACATAGTCAAAGGATCATTGTTGGAATTAACTCTTTTTAAGTATTAGGTAAGAATGCATACAATTTTTATTTGCATCATATTTTATTCTTCTGAGACATTGGGTAAGAATACTTAGAACTCTGTTAGATAAAAGATTAAAGTGATCAAAATTCCATGTTACATAGGAATCTCAAGCTAGCTAGAATGGGAAGAAAGTATAACTCATCTTAGACTATTTGTTACCGTGTTAACAAAAAAAAAAAAAAAAATGAATCAGTTATGTTTTTCTACATTGTTTTTTTTTTTTCAGTTTTGGTCAGAAGACCAACCATGTGTTTTGTGATGACAATGTTGTGCAATGAAAACAGTCTATCCGAAGCAAAAGAACCCGGACACTCTTCAAATCACAGAGGGAATGAGTTCAAGAAATGAATGCACCATCACTACCCTAGATCCTCGGTAGAGCATACACATAAAATCTTAGGAAAGTAATTTTCCTTTTGGTAAAGAAGTACTCCGTATTTGAATTTTGTGGACGTAACTCTAATTTCTAACTCAATTACTTGTGCGATATGGTCAATACTCGATCAATTTATAAGTCACTAAAGGATATGGTGTTCAAGTCTTACGTGCATATAGCCTATGAACTAGTTCAGGAAGACGTTAATACACAAATTCACAAACACAACATCCAAGAGATAAGCAATCAAAACACACAAGAACGCATGGAATTTGGTAACCCAATTTGGAATAACTATTCCCACATCTGGGGGCACCACCGAAACAGTAGCCCAATTCTTCATTCAAAATCAATGTCAACGTTTTACCAAAACACAACGATATGAGGGAAGAACTCTAATTCCTTCGACTACGCCATAGCCTTCAAATATAGAGTTGCCTCTTGAAGAATTGGTGAAGGATCTCCCGATCGTTCAAGTTGAGGCTCCCCCTCAACTGCAACTCTACTGAGTTGTCTTCATGTGGTCACAGTCCAATTGCTTCGAAAGATCAAATCAACTTGATAAGAATGTTAATTCCTCAAGTTGCTCAGTTTAACTCAACAAATCTACCCACTCTTATTTCTCGAATTTTCTAAGTAAATCTTCAAATTGTCAAACTTGCAAACTGGAAGAGAGTCAAGACTTTTATTTTCTTTTTTTCTGAATAATCTGTAACAAAGTATTTGGTCCAGGCTTTGATCTTCAGTCTTCGTGAATGTCTGTCACTAACCTATCTTTAAACTAAGTCTAAATACTAGTACAAACTCAATCTAACTTAGTACAAGTACAGAGTCAAATCCTGAACTAAATCTTGCATAATTGTATTGTTCCATAAACCATAACAACATAGAGGAGTAAAAAGATATTATTATTATTATTATTATTATTATTATTATTATTATTATTGTAAATTCTTTTCTTAAAGATGTTATTAACAATATAAATGTACATTTTTAGTACACCTTAACTTATTCACAATATCTGTTCAACAATTATGCCAATTGTGATGGTATTCAAACCTGAAATCTTATTTATGCAATTCAAATGATTAGATATTTTATATAAAGATGAAATTCTCAAAATGATCCTCCGACTATGGTCCTTTCTCAAATTGGTCCTATGACTTTTAATTAAACACAAACTGGTCCTCCAACTATTAGATTTTAAGCCAAATCGATCCTCTGTTAGTTAGGCGTGAACTTGGCCGTCAAATTAAAGGGCAAAACAGGAAATTTACACTGTATCATGTTTAGACTACCCGCACCTTTGATTTTTCTCCCAAATTAACGAACTAATTGTTGAATTCTTCCAAATTAGCGAACGAAATTTTCTCCCAAACTAGCTTCAATTCAATTAAAGTTCTTCAGGCTTCAACAATTCGTTCGCTAATTTGGGAGAAAAATCAAAGGTGTTGGTAGTCTAAACATTATGCAATCCTCTTTTGCCCTCTAATTTGACGCCAAGTTCACGCCCAACTAACGGAGGACTGATTTTGCATAAAATCTAATAGTTAAAGTACCATTTTGGGTTCAATTAAAAGTCATAGGACCAATTTGAGAAAGGGTCATAATCGAAGGATCATTTGGGAATTTCCTCTTTATATAAATAAATGCTCTACAAGTTAATAAGCACTACATAGGTTTAACTGTTTAAGGGCAGTGATTATAGATGAATGAAAAATACCATTTGTACTCTCCATAATAGAAGAAGAAGAAAAAGCAGTTTAGAAACATTCCAAGATGATAAAGAATAAAACAAAACCAAGACTTTTTGTGTAAAAGGAGCACTAGAAAGTTATTTACACTGTCTTGGTCTAAAATTTTCAGAGTCCAGGAGCTTCAGTACAAGTTTCTCCAACCTTGTTGAGCTTGCAGAAGGTTTAACTGCATCCAAACTACCATAAACTATACAAGGATCTTTACCTATATCATGTCTCCCTACACACCAAGCTCCAGGGGTAAACTGGCCATCAGATCTTCCGAGGAGCTCTTGGTCAATCCTGTCGAGAACCGGGTCATCCATTGCAAAGGTACGAGCGAATGGTACACCGCTCAGAAGCATGTCGTTGAAGTCCTTCGTTGTCAAATTCATCGGGTCCTGCTTCGGGGGATTATCCCATTTAATGTAGTGCAGGTCGTGGTTCACAGTCGTGTTCTGGTAGTCTTTGTGATTGCAGACAACGGTGTGAAAGTAGCCCTCGGGGGAGGACAGGACATTCGTGAAGTACATCAAAAGAGTGCGGGGGAGACTGTCCCAACCCCAGATGCAGAACTCGAGGAATGGCCTCGTGAGAACGACCCATTCAGACCCTGTAAATTAATTACAAACTGCATCAAAATCCCCTAGCAATGGACCGAATATTTCATCACCAATGTAAGCAGTTCTTGCAAGACATCGACTAATACCGATCTAATTAATAGTATGTGGAAAAGGTAATTAAAAGCTACATCTCGCCCGCAGTTTAGAAGAACTGATCAAGGAGGAGTCGAAGAAAATAGTAAGTACCCATGAAGAGCATAAAAGAAGCAGGCAATGACCTCGTCTCCTTGGCCCAAAATACACCAGATTTCTTAGAATGATATAAGCCAGGATCTATGATTATAGGCCTCGCCCGATGATACCTGAAAAACTTGTACAAGGTATTCCAGAGTTATTAATGTCCACGGTGAGAACAAAAATCCATTTTTAACTCCTGAAAATATATAAGATCACAAAATTCAGTAAATTAGTAATGTGCTCACTCCTTCGAACCAATGTTACTTGTGTGCTCGAGAAAGTTCAGATCCCTAGGCAAGTATGAGAAAATGTGCAGTATATCTGGAACAAATAGGGCAAGATTTCTTCATTAATAATACAATAATGGCCTAATAAACTAAGAAATTCCGATATCTTAACTATGAACGTGGTTGGTTATTGCCTTCCACATGAATTATGATGAGTAGTACAAGTTGTAGAGTGACTCGATGCTCAATACTAACTCATCGAAACCAAAATGGAAATCTTGGCATGTGGCTATCGGTATATAGATACACAGCACTACAGCAGTTGTAATACAAATTAGGAACATAGACTAACGATGAATTATCACCATGCTAATATCCCGTCAAGCACTATCATGTATTCATGTAATTGACCACCATTTTAACCCCACACAAAACAGGGCTTGTTCAAACAACTAATCAAAAGTGATGATGAGAGAGTCTCACAAATTCATTGGTTCACCAACTAAGTAGAACATACATGTTTATAGACCCTATCTAGAAACTGAATATATGAACAAAGTAGTCAGCATTGAATATGAACACAGCTCTAAGCTAGTTTTCATACTATCAAATCCATTTAGGACGACATTTTCTTCCAAATAATCAAGTCATTAGATTTTAATGTCTCCAACGCACCAACAAAGTTACCTCAAAAAATCCAAAATCATATTATATAAAACTCAAAATCATTTAAATTCCATACATTCAGGAGATCTACAATCAATGTTTTAAATCTGCTAAAAGCATTGATCAGGTCATAATCCAACTAAAAGTCCAAATCATACAAATGCATTCACCAACAAGCCCCTGATATCATGTAGCTACTTGTAAAAGTATGTTGAGCCTCATTTCAACTTTTCAGTTTTCACCATATTGTTAACTTGGTAACCACAAGGTTACAAGCTTGACTTCCAACAGGAACGGCCTATTCACCATCTTGGTTTGAGCCAATCAGCTATGGGTAATCTAAGTTGGTTTACCTCCTCGTGGTTCTTTACCGGCTAAGGTCACAAGACAAGCTACCTAGTGCACACCTTTGGTAGTGACTACCATTTCCCTCATCAGTCAAAAGTTCATCAAAATTGGAGACAACCCCAACCAAGTTAGTCAAATTGTTGACTTGGTAACTAAGGTTACAAGTTCAACTCCCAACAGAAGTGGCCTATCGATCATCTTGGTTTGAGTGAGTTAGTTGTGGGCAACCTAGGATGGTTTACCTCATTGTGATTCTTTACCCAGTTGGGCAACCTATGTTAGTTTACTTCTTTGTGGTCCTTTACCGACTAGGATTACAAGGCGATGTTTACCTAATGCACACCCCTGGATAATGGTTGTGATTTTCCCAGAGCACACCTTGGGTAGTGACTACGTTTCCCTCATTACTCAAAAGTTCATCAAAATTGCAGACAACCCCAACTAACTTAGTTGTTGACTTGGTAACTAAGGTTACAAATTCAACTCCCAACAGAAGCGGTCTATCAGTTATCTTGGTTTGAGCAGGGCAACCTAGGATGGTTTTCCTCATTGTGATTCTTTACCAGCTGTGGGCAGCCTAGACTGATTTACTTCCTCATGATCCTTTACCAACTAGAATTAGGAGGCAATGTTACCTAATGCACGCCCTGGATAATTGCTGTGATTTTCCATAGTCCCTCAAAAGTTCATCAAAATTACAATGAACCCATCACTATAATATTTGCTTATAACAGTATGCAATCTATGCAGAGATACACAACAGATCAAACACCTTAAAATTAAGAAAACCATTTCAAATTTCACAGCTTAGAAAAGGGCAAAACACACTGACCATCTTGGGGCATGAGGGGATAATCAGACGCACTAAGATTGATCAACCAGTCCCATCGCTTAGCCTTCTTCAAGAGAATCGCCGCTGCTCGGAGCATGGAAGCCAACGCCGTGGGTCCTCTGTGGGTGATTAAATCCGCCTTCCCAATCACCATAACGTTCCGAAACTCTCTCATCACAGGATCCAATCTGACCCACTTACCCAGCTCGACCCGCTCCCCATCCGGCGCCTCCAAATCCAGATTCAACACATAGTAATTCCTCGGATGGTACAACGCCTGAAGAAGCCGCTTCAGCCTCGCGCCGTCGGCTCTGGAGCCGGAAATCAGGTAGGCCAATCGCGGCAGCTCTGGCAGCTCCGATTCGGCGACGCCGCCATTGTGATTTGAAGTTGTTGGTTTTTGGGCATTTGGGTGAGTGAAAATTAGCGCGGAGACGAGTGCGAGAAGGAAAATGGAGAGTAAAAGGATGGGTATCGACCATTTTTGGCTGCGGGTAAATCTAATTCGAGATTTTCTCATTAGATATTCCTGTTCCGACAATCAATCTGGTTCAGGATTTAGGAATGGGCCAGCACTCGCTACGTCGCTGGATTTTCTGGGTTGCTGGCAGCCTGGCAGTGGCTTTTGTTGGCTTTGTGTAAATTATGATTTTTTTTTTTTTTCAAAAATCTGTTATCCCAGCTTCTTTGGAGTTTGGACTGATTAATATCCACTCCAAAATTTATAAATCAAGTATATTCAATATCATTATGAACTTTCAAACCTCATGTGTACTATCACAATAATTTGTTCATCATAATTGTCTAATTGACATATAGTGGCATATTTATTTGTATTTATTGTTTGGTTTGACATTGTAATTTATAATTGCAATAAATAAATATATATATATATATATATATATATATATATATATATATATATATATATATATATATATATATATATATATATATATATATATAGGTGAATGTTTTAATGAGGCCACTTGTTCTTATGAGACCGTGAGACCCAACATGAATGCATACAAACTACTCTATGATAAACTGTGTGCATTCATGTTGAGCAAATTGCACACAATCTAGTTTGTGTGATTCATATAGTAAATTATGTGCATTAATGTTGAGTCTCACGAGAAGAGGTGATCTCATTTAATTATTAATATATATATATATATATATATATATATATATATATATATATATATATATATATATATATATATATAATAAACATAATAAGTGTGAATGAAAGTTATACCCCTCATTTGTGTCCGTTTTTTCCGTTAAATTTTTTTGTACATTATGCTATAAAAGTTTTGTACATTAAAATATTTTGGACAAACATATCCCTACCGTTATAACTTCCATTATCTTTTCCACTATTGTTACCATGCACATGCATCCACCATATATTTTCGTATCTTCTTCATTAATAATAATATATATATACACATTATATATTTGAGTTATATGTTAATTATTACCTAAAATATAAATATCAAATTTATAAAAATGAGTTACATTATTATTATTATTATTATTATTATTATTATTATTATTATTATTATTATTATTATTATTTAGAATAATTTAAATATCTAAAATCTAAATAAATTTAAAATTTTAATATAATGTACTAATATTGGGCACCTATTTTTTGCGCATCGCGCATAAAAAATACTAGTATATATAATGAGATCATGGTATACAATGAAAATTGATCTTAATTATACATGCATCATATTTAGTTCTTGATTATTAAAATCTTCTAATTAGGTTTATGACTATATATTGTATGTAATTTGTATTACATTTTATCCTACCGTCCAATTTCTTGGTCAACTATTGCTGAAAGTGCTTCTTCAGGAAGAAGCAAATGCAATGCTCCTTCCAAAAGAAGCAAATACAGTGCTCCTTATAGAAATGCTCCTTCCGGAAGAAGCACTTCCGGCAATAGTTAGTCGAGAAATTTGACGACAAGATTAAATGTGATACAAATTACATAGTATTTATGCATCTAATTAGAAACTTTTAATAGTCAATGACCAAATGTAATTTATGTATAATAATCAGAGGATTAAAAGTGAAATTTATTTTATTTTTTAAACCAATCCCCGCCCTTTTTCCATTTATTATGTATATATACTAGTTTTTTCTATGTGCAATGCGCAAAAAATATATGTTCAATATTTATATTTTTAAAAATAACTAACAAATAATCCTTATAATTAAAATTTATATGAAATCAAATTTATTTATTATATTAATCTAATATTTTTTTTTTGAAAGTATATGCTGCATTTATTAATCAATCAAAGCCGAAATAAACACAGTCTGCCTGTGAATAGGCTGCAGAAGCTAACGAATGTGCTAAAAAATTAGACGTACGAGGAATAGAAACAAAAGAACACGATGTAAAAGAACTAAGTAATTCTCGACACGCTGAAACAGCTACACCATCATATGAGCGAAACTCCGTCGCTGAAGTAGTTAGGGCGTGACATAGATTTGAGCAATCCGTCCGAAGTGCAACCTCCGTAATACCCCGATCAATAAGCCAAGATAGAGCCTCCTTGCATGCGAGTGCTTCTGCCATGAAAGGACCCTGGCATGTTGGCAACGGGCTGTTTTTAGCTGCAACGAATCCACCGTCCGCACGTTGCAAAATGAGGCCAAAAACACCCATCCCGGATGCTGCGACATAACCCGCATCAAAAGAGCAGCGCAGGCCATGAGCATCAATTTCCGTATCGCCTGCTGATGCCGCCTGCCGCAGCCGTCCCCGCATCTGTCCAGATGTTGTCTCCGCACCATGCTGCCACGCCGCGCGCCAAGCATCGACCGTAGCCACTGCCATCGCGTGAACCCGACGTGGGGGCACCAATCTACACTCCCACACAGCCATGTTGCGTTGACCCCGTATGTGGTATATGGTGGCCAACATAGAGGCGAGGTGGGTATCATCAATAATCTGGAACAATGCCTCAAGCCGCACACCAAAATCATCTCCCACCATACACTGCACCATCAATCCAGAAATATTTCATACATGTTTAGAATAATCACATAACACAAGAGTATGTAAAATATTTCTGAGCAAAGACCACACAAAGGGTACACAATTGGGACTTCTACCCTCCTATTTATTAAGTTATCCATAGTGGGGAGCACACCACTCACAGTTCTCCACAAGAAAGTTTTCCACTTTGGGGGTACTTTTAGGTTCCAAATCCTATTCCATGACGAGAAGCCATTGGGATGCATAGGAATGACTCCCATCAATTCACGGTAAGCGCCTTTTCACAGTGTATTCCCCCTTAGGGTCCCCAAACCAATACCACAAATCTTCATATGCCGGACTTATAGGGATTTTTATAATCCGGGTAATATCATCTGGCAGAAATAGCTCATTAAGAAGAGGCATATCCCATGTTAAGGTTACCGGGTCTTTCAACCCAGAAACTTTCACTTCACCCAAATGCTCAGGCTTATTAGATAAAATCTTAGGAGTAGAATCACCCATCAACCACGGATCTCCCCACACGAGAGTACCATTTCCATTCCCTATCATGCGTCTAATATTACGACGAATTAGACTATGAGAAGCCATAACACTTCTCCAACAAAAACTTGGGTTGTTTCCAACTGTGGCATTCAAAAAATCAGTTTTCGGATAATACCTGGCTTTATAAACTCTGGCAACTAGAGACTGAGGATTAGTAAGAAATCTCCACCCCTGCTTACCCAGCATAGCCAAGTTAAATGCCCCAAATCCTTGAATCCCAACCCGCCGAACTTCTTTGGTTTACTCAACTTATCCCATGCCATCCAATGTATTCCTCCACCATCCCTCCCATTCCGCCACCAAAATCTATTCATAACACGTTCCAGGTCTGTACATAAGGTGTCAGGCAATAAAAAAACACTCATAGTAAAAGTAGGCATGGCCTGCACCACAGATTTTAACAGAATTTCCTTTCCTGCCTGAGACAAAAGTTTTTTATTCCAGGACCCAATTCTCTGCCTAACCTTATCACCAATATATGCAAAAACAGCCCGTTTATTTCTCCCCAGAAAGGCCGGCAAGCCCAGATACTTGCCAAAATTGGTTGCCTGCTGCACGCCGAAGATCGCTGTCACAGCATTTCTATCCGCAAGCTGAGTATTTTTGCTAAAGCAAATATTTGACTTATGATAGTATATATTCTGGCCAGAAAGTTCCTCATACGATGTTAAACACCTTCTGATAACCCTTGCCTCCTGGACATTAGCCTTAACGAACAGGAGGCTATCATCTGCAAAGAATAAATGCGAGAGCGCAGGCGCCCCCCTTGCAACTCTTAAACCATGAAAATCCCCCATGTCCTGAGCTTGCTGCAATAATAGAGATAACCCCTCTGCACAGATAATAAACAAATATGGGGACAAAGGGTCACCCTGGCGAAGACCTCTAGATGGGATTAACTGCCCCCCGGATGCCCCATTAATCATAATATTATACGACACGGTGGTAACACATTCCATAATTAAATTCACCCACCCCATCTCAAACCCCAGCGCCACTAGCATCTTTCTCAGAAACGACCACTCCATTCTGTCATAGGCCTTTGTCATATCCAATTTCAGGGCTCCCCAACCAACCCTACCCAACTGCTTTCTATTCAAAAAATACCCCACCTCTGCCGCAATTAATATGTTATCAGTGATAAGCCTCCCCGGAATAAAAGCACTTTGAGAACTAGATAGTATATCGCCCAACATAGGTTTCATACGATTAGCAATAACCTTAGCAATTATTTTATATACCACATTACTCAGGGCAACCGGGCGCAAATCAGCTACGAGTTCCGGGGTCTGTTTCTTAGAAATCAACACAATATTTGACTCATTTAGCCCAGGCGGTAAAGATCCCGAATTTAAGTAATCTAGAACGAAATCAGTCACATCCATCCCCACAACATCCCAAAACTGTTGATAAAAACCCGGATTCATCCCATCAGGCCCCGAGGCTTTATCAGGGAACATGGCAAACAAAGCAGCCTTAACCTCCCCCGGGTCATAGGGTCGGTTTAACCACTCATTATGGGACTGAGTTACACGCGGAGTGACCGAAGCAAAGAAATCAGCCCCATCAACCACAGCCGGATTAGCAATAAAAATATCATTATAATCATTCATCACAACTGGCTTCAATCCATCACCATCTACCCACCTCCCCAAATCATCTTTAAGGCGCAAAATAGTATTCTTACGTTTACGGGCAGAAGCATACCTGTGATAGAAGCGTGTATTCGCATCCGCACCTCGGAGCCAATGCTGCTTTGCCCGCTGCCTCCAAAAAATATCCTCCTGCTTCTCAAGTATAGACAGCTCAGCCTCCAGTTGGCGAAACTCGGCCAATGCCTGTGGAGTCCTCTGTCCCATACAATTCAACTGCTGCTTCTTTAGGGTTGCAATACGTTCCCCAAATTTATGGAAACGATCACCCCCCCCCCCCCATCTTTGTAGTTTCATAGC